CCCCCCCCCAGGTACTGCTTCTTCCGTACAGGATATATGCAGAAGTTTATAAAGGCTTTCGTCATTGTTTTCTCTCCAAACTCCCAGGTGGAGCGCGCCGGGCACTCAGCAGGTGGGGGCTATGCAGTCCTGACCTTCCCAGAAAGACCTTCCGCGCAGACCCACAGGCTTCCTCGTGCAACGAGGAAACGGATTTTCGACTGCCCCGCAGAGGCCCACGCTATTTTAGCGTCCTCCCTCTCCCCGCCATCCAGCAGGTCCTGGAATAACAGTTTCGTGATACCACTGATGAGGGTGAAAAACTGTCAGCCGACCTAGAACTGAGTCTGCTGTCTGAGCATCGGCTTCCTTACACCTGGCTTCACCTGGAGAGCGCTCCAAGACCCCTACAGATGGACGTTTGGAGAGGTCTGCTGTGTTTGCTGCTCCTCCCTCCCCCCAGGATAAAGCTGGTTTGGGTCACCTTTAGAGACAAGTGCAGACTGACTGACCACTTAAAGCAGCTCGCAGTGGAGACGAGCTAACTAATTAGCAAAAATGCAGATAGATGTTATGTGTGTTGCGGTATATTCCAGATCTCCCAGGTTTGATAAAGAGGGGAGAATTGCACAGAAAATGGGACCCAAGGGAAGATACAGTTTTCTCTGGCCTGATTTGATGAGTGGGCTGCTCTGGGCTGGCACGTGTGTGCCTGGAGACCCGTTTCCCGGCCTGCTGGGGCCCCAGAGCTGGGTGCATGCCCAGAGGGTAAGGGGTCCTGTGGCCTCTCTGGCCTTGTACCCACTAAAAAGAAGAAAAGAAAGCAAGAGGCTCACGAGGAGAAGATGCCGGTACATGTGAGTGCTTTAGGCTGCTTCTTCTTGGGCCAAAGATGTCAAAACCAGAAACCCTCCCAACGGGAGAGTCAGGCTGCCCTTCTCCAGGGTTAAGTCTTTCCCCAAACGTTTCCCTCAGCCAGGTCTTGCTGCAGGTTCCTTACTGAAGACCTGAGGCCAGGGGTGTTGGGCAAGGTGAATGGAGAAC